GACCTTACCTATGCCTGCACAATCAAAGTGAAGATAGGTATTTAGCATACCTATGTAAATCAGCCCAAATGAAATATTATTTAGATTTTCACTTGAAGACTTTTTTTATTATAAAAGCGTGGGGTACAATTCAGGGTTAGGTATACAAACGTTGATTATACCCTTATTGATGAGGCATGCCCCTCCCTCCCCTAGAAGTTTCCCTCAACTGCCAATCCCACTTGAAGACTTTTTAACCCAAAAGTTATTTCAAAACATGGTAGAAAACTATAGACCATTCTTAGTTTAGCTTGTTAAGTCCTTTGATCTAGAAAAATACAAGATATTCTTACCCAAACCAGGGAAGGGAGGAGGACAAAGAAAAAGAGAATGCAATATTGCTCAGATGATTAGCACAAAATGAACGAGAGAGAAGGAAGAGAAGGAATGTGAATTCCTTTTCACTAATTTCTATATTTGGAATATAAATAGCCATTCGATTGTTTCAACGTTACAATAAGATGTGAAAAAAGAGAAGAAAAGTATTTTGTTCTCCAGCCAGGAGGTTTCAGGTGCCAAGAATTCTGCTCAGTGAGTAGACAAAAAGAATGTCCAGCTGAATTTAACACCAAGCCATTTGTGTAACAAAACTTGATTCCGCTCAAAGTGCCTAATCAGTGAGAAATCCGCAGGCTGGGGCAGAAAAATCTCTCTCTCCTCCTAGGAGACTGTTTTTAAAACTCGCTGAAATCGTGAACTGAGATTTGGAAAGCTTGTTTTGTTCGTTCTTTTTGCTCCACTTGGGCTGGAACCTAAATTGTGTCAAGGACCCTGTTAGTTATGAAGGAATCTGTGAAGGCATTCCAAAGAGTTCCCACAGATTCCTCCTCCTGAACAGTTTTAGGGACTTGTGGTTATTTGTCTCTTTTCTAAAATTGTCACTTCCCAAAGCAGCACTTTCTTTTGGAAAAAATCTAGGAGCTTTTGGGTCCGTTGAAACCACATAAAGCAACTTTTTCAATTTCCTAGATAGATGTTCCAGAAAGACCAATACCCAGCTGCAGTTCTTTTTGTTTTTCAGTTTAGCTAAAACTACTGAAAGAACAAAAAACATTTTTTAAACCAGAAAATTAACCTCAGAAATTCCCAATTTCTCATCCCCTTTTTTTTTGTTTCCCTGTAAAGCAAAAGAGACAACGGATCTCCACGTGGACAGCTAGGCTTGTTCTGCTTCGTAAGAGTTGACCGTCACTCTGTTGGCCATCTCATGAGACCCAGGAAACCCTTGTTCAAGGTTCAAAGAGGCCACCTCAGCATCAGTCTCTGTATCCACACTGCCCGGATTCACACTGCCCACCACTTACTAGCTTTGTGACCTCAGACAATTTACTCACCCACTCTCTGCCTTGGGAATAAAAGTAATTCTTATGCATTAGAATTATGAAGACTCAATAAGTTAAATTCATGAATTTCAATTTAAATAAGTGTTTAAATTTACTAAATCAATATGAAGATTTAATGAAATTTATTAAATAAGTTAACTGGGTGTGGTGGCTCATGCCTGTCATCCCAGCACTTTGGGAGACTGAGGCAAGAGGACTGCCTGAGCCCAGGGGTTCAAGATCAGCCTGGGTAACTGGGTGAGACTTCGTCTCTACCATAAATTTGTTTTAAAAATAGCTGAGTGTGGTGGTGCATGCCTGTAGTTCTGGCTACTTGGAAGACTGAAGCAGAAGGCTCTCCTGAGGCCAGCAGGTTGCGTCTAAGGTGGCTGTGATCATGCGGTTTTTTGAGTGAGACCCCAACTCAAAAAAAAAAACATAAATAAGTTAAACGAATTAAGGATCAGGAGAGTGTCTGGCACATGATGAAAGCTACCTGTGAGTCTGCTGTGGTGATGATGCTGAAGGTGTTGACAGTCCTTTCTTGAAGCCTTCTCAAAGCACACATGAAGGATTTTATTACCCAAAGTGACCAAGCACTGAAAACTCAGCGTCAAGCATGACACAGAGAAAGGAACGGTGAAGCACTCACCACCCAGAGTCCTGCGCCCCAGAGGAAACTCCACCCAGGATCTTCCCAATGCTCCCTCTCCACTTCTTCCCTTTTCCAACGTGGGAAAAGTCTCTTCAGATTCCAGTCAGGTTACTCCCCCTACCCAAGAGGAAACTGTAAGCCTCCCACCACTGCCAGGACAGATAGCAGGGCCAACGGTGAGGGGAAGGGGGTAGGAGATAGGAACGGGAGACAGGCGGGAGTGTTGACCAAGGAAAGCACAGGGTGGATGCATAGGAGAGCAAGGGGCAGCCCTGGGAAGAGGAAGGCCACACCGAGGTCTCAAGTGACTGTCCACAGTACAGGGGGACACTGGAGGGAGCAAACTGCCTGTGAAATATTGTTCATTAAAAACCACCTGGCATGAATAGAGACCAAGATCACAACAACTGCAGAAAGGAATGTGGCCACAGTAAAGAAAGGGACGTTTTGCCCAGCAAGAGACACACAGATTGACAGGCCCAGGGTGACCTAAAACAGGGAAAATCCAGCCCCACTTCAGAGCTACAGAGGCCAAGGGAGGAGATGGCACTGCTGGCGGTTGCTTCTGCATATTGTAATTGCAGAAGAATGGCTGAGAACGATTGTATACCCACTGTGTGCCGGGCACCATTGTAAACACTTGATTTGTCAGTTGCAGGCATATTTTGGGGAGGGGGTGAAAGGAATTTGAAATAACTTGAAGGATTTCTGTTCGTAGCGATCAAAAGCGTCTAATAGAACTAAAAATAATTGACACAACTATTTGGACCAGTTTCTGAACAATGCCATGTGAGTTATTCAGTTGTTTTGTTTTGTTGTTGTTTAATTATTTTTAATGCACCTAATTGATAAGCTCTATGCACAAGTTCTAGACTGCAGAGTCTCTGTGACCACTGGCAGGCTAACATCTATTTCCTGGAAATTTAAAAACAATATCATCAACCTGCTAAAGTCTAAGGCAGTCTATTTCCCTTAAAAAAAACTGATAGAACACAAGATCTGGAGTTTGCTAAGGTGAATTTACAAAAAGATAAAGTATCCTTTGGCCCAAAAGTTTGAGAAATATTGCCTTAAGCAAAACTAAACTATTTTTGTGTCACTGTGTTATGTTGTTTTACTGCAGGACTTCTCAGAACATTTAATAGGCTAATTAACATGGTCAATCCATAAGAAAGAGATATCTGATCTCAAATTATCTGATGAAACAATTATTTCCAATACTCCTACATTATCTCCTAGAAATAAATAGTAATTGGTGAAATGCTATTTAGAAAATGCTAATACAGGTTGATTTTATTATTTCACCTGGAGTTTAGCCCATTCCAAGCCCAGATTTTTATCTGCATCTCTCAGAAATAAGTACCCAATTTGTTTCTGTGGTATATTATTCAAAGTAACACAGTTACTGTAACAGATAAGCTTCAAAATCTTACTGGTTTCACACAACAATTAATTTATCTCAAGCAACGGTCCAAAGTGAGTAAAACCACTCAGGAAGCTTTGAAAAATACTCCTGGTGTCCCACTCCCTGGAGTTCTGATTTTAGTGTTCAGAATAGGGCCAAGCATCAGGAGTTGTTTTTTTTTTTAGTTGGAGTCTGTCACCCAGGCTGAAGGGCAGTGGCATGCTCCTGGCCAGGCCACCGCAGCCTTGACCTCCTGGGCTCAGGGCATTCTTCCACCTCAGCCTTCCAAGTAGCTGGAACTACAGGCATTTGCCACCATGTCCGGCTAATTTTTTGATTTATTGTAGAGATGAGGTCTTGCCAAGTTGCCCAGACTGGTCTCAAACCCATGGGCTCAGGCAGTTCTCTCACTTCGGCTTCCCAAAGTCCTGGTAATGTAGGTGTGAGCCACCATGCCAAAAAATTAGCCAGACATGGTTTGAATACTGGCTTCTGGAGCCACATGGTTTGAATACTGGCTTCACCACCCCCTGGCTGTGTGACCTTTGATAAGCTGTGCAACCTCTCTGCCTCGGTTCTCTCGTCTGTAAGATGAGGAGAATAACCCTATTTCCCCAAGTCTAGAATAGTAACTGGAATGTAGTAAGTTTTCAAAAAATGCCAGCTATTAATATTGTTTTTTACTGTTTTCAAATGCAGGTTTCTGCTCTAAGTTTTGAAGGATACAGAGAAGACGAAGGCTACGCCCCTGCCCTCAATGTACTCATAATCAGACATAGGAGACAGACCGATGAATTATGATAGATATGACTGGGCCTTCATGCATCGTGTGCAAAATTCTGGGAGGATCTCCAGGATCTGGTGGAGGGGCAGAACAGGAAGCCTTCTCGGAAGAGGTGGCATGAGATCTCAAAGGGTAAGATTTGACCTACGGGCTCAGTCACTTGCCACTGGAGTGACATGGAAAAGAAGAAAGGATGCGTTCAAGACCCGGCTGTCAGTATCTGGAGGGAGACCTTCCTTTGCCATAGAGTTTGCCACCCATCCAGGGTAGAGCCATCACCTTCTCTAGGGCAGGGTCCCAGACTTCTACAACTTTCTCTGCACACCTGGGGCAGTGCCTGCATGCAGGCATCCCACAAGCCCTGCTCAGCTGCAAGCCTGAGCCTTTGCGTCTGGACAGAAAGCCTGTGGTGCTCCCTGGCGTGGCAGCGGTGGGCAGGACCAGAGGCGGGGGGCAGAGCAGCAAGCAGGCAGAAACTGTTTGGGGAGTTTCACAAGCACAAAAATCCCAGGTTGTACCACGGCCTCAGCCCCTGCAGGATATCCTGTCATTCCGCCAGGACATATATACCATTTAAAGAGGCCGGTTTCACGAAGACCCCTGGATTTGCTGCTTTTTCTGTCTAAAGGCAGGTCTCACCTATCTCTGGCTCAATCCTGGAAAAGGAAGGGAAAGAATTTAAAAGTAAACACTGAAATGTGGAAGAACTTGCTGGGTGTTCATCACATTCAGTTAAAATAGCTAAATCGTCCTGGCAAGTGACTGGCACAGAGAAGGAGCAAACATTTCCTCATCATGCTACAGCATCTAATAATTTTTTTTCTTGGATTGGTTATTCAAAATTTCTGCTCCCCGGCTGAAACCACAGGACAGGTAAGAGGAGACTTTCATATACTTTATTCGTTAACGCTCATGGCATAGTCAAAAGCTTTCTGGTTTTCTGTGCTGTCCTGGGGAAAAGGTACTAGCTGGACTTCATAAAACAAGGAGAAGGTTTGCAGAGCCACAGGTCCGAATGGTGACACACCATCATCCTGAAGGTGTGCTAACCTAGAGGGTTCAGCTCCTGTGCTAAGCCACCGCAGCTGGGGTCTCACATTTTCCATTGCTAAGCACTGCTCTTTCCCTTGAAGATTGTGGCATCCTGTTTTTCATTTAATAGTCTTGTTGTTGTGACTATCTACCATCCCATCTTTCTGACTATAGAAAATAGCTCTGGCTGCGGATAGACGGCCTGGGGAATTCCAGGGTGGGTAATATCTCACTAAGGAGCACAAGCATCAGAAACATTTATGAAATTCACTGGGCATTCATTGATCCATCCCTTCTGCTTTACACAGAGTTGCAGTCAAAGTCCCCAGGGCAATCTCATCAGTAGCCCCTGTGAAGCGTATCCACAGGCTCACACAAGTTGTCATCACAGAGTGAGACCAGCAATCAGTGAGAGCTAATCCCAGGTGACTTACTAAAGATGCATCCCACAATATATGATTTATTAAGAATAAGTCTTAGCCGAGTTCGGTGGCTCAGCCTGTAATTCCGCGCCTTTGGGAGGCTGAGGTGAGTGGATTGCCTGAGCCCGCGGATTCGAGACCCGCCTGGGCAACTTGGGGAGACTTCATCTCTACAATAAATCAAAAATTAGCCGGGCACACACCTGTAGTTCCAGCTACTTGGAAGGCTGAGGCGGAAGGATTGCTGGAGCCCAGCAGGTCGAGGCTGTGGTGTCTGGGAGTGGCCACTGCACTCCAGTCTGGGCGACAGAGTGAGACTCCAACTCAAAAAAAAAACATGGGGACATGGTCTAGTGGTCACACATCCCAGCTCTGAAGCAAGGTAGGGGGGTGAGTTTGAAATGTGACTTTCATTTGTCTATTTAACCAACATTTCTGAGGATCAGTCACAGTACTCCACAGCGAACTAGTTGTTCAGCCCTAAGCAAATTACTACATCTCTCTAAGCTTCAGATTGTCCCCTGACAGTGCTCCACAGATGGTGGTCGTTACCATCACCATCGAGTGCTCACATTCATGCAAAAGTCAGGCCTTAACTGATGTTTATTTTATCTTATTTTTTGAGTTGGAGTCTCACTCTGTCACCCAGACTGGAGTGCAGTGGCCGCTCCCAAGGCTGTGGCCTTGACCTGCTGGGTTCCGGCAATCCTTCCGCCTCAGCCTTTCAAGTAGCTGGAAATAGAGGTGCACACTACCACGCCCGGCTAATTTTTTGACTTATTGTAGAGATGAGGTATCGCCAAGCTGCCCAGGTGGGTCTCGAACCCACGGGCTCAGGCAATCCACTCACCTCAGCCTCCCAAGGCGCGGGATTACAAACTGAGCCACCAAGCCCGGCTAATGTTTAAAGCTGAATTTACTTTCCAGAGAAAACAAGTTTGTCAACACTGTATGAGAAGTAAAATGAGCCTTTCCATTTGGAAGGGACAACTGTTGTTGGATTTCTTGAGAAGAGAGTATTAGCCAGCCTCGGTGGCACAGCCTGTAATCCCGCGCCTTGGGAGGCTGAGGTGAGTGGATTGCCTGAACCCGCGGGTTCGAGACCCGCCTGGGCAACTTGGCAAGACCTCCTCTCTACAATAAATCAAAAAATCTGCTGGGCGTGGTAGTGCACACCTGTAATTCCGGCTACTCAGAAGGCTGAGACGGAAGGATCGCCGGAGCCCAGCAGTCGAGGCTGCGGTGGCCGGGAGCGGCCACTGCACTCCGGTCTTGGTGACAGAGTGAGACTCCAACTCAAAAAAAAAGAGTATTAAATGTGGCCTACTTGAAAAGAAAAGACTAAGTACTGTAACCCCACATATTTATCCAAATGGGAAATCCTAAAGTAAAGAAAAGGCTTCCTGACAATTAAAGAAGGTTAATTTGAATTGTATAAGGGAGGAGGTTTTTTGTTTTTTTTTTGAGTTGGAGACTCACTCCATTGCCCAGGTTGGAGTGCAGTGGCACGCTCCCGGCCACTGCAGCCTCGACCTGCTGGGCTCCGGCAATCCTTCTGCCTCAGCCTTCCAAGCAGCCAGAACTACAGGCATGCACTACCACATCTGGCTAATTTTTTATTTATTGTAGAGACGAGGTCTCACCAAGTTGCCTGGGCGGGTCTCAAACCCATGGGCTCAGGCAATCCACTCGTCTCGGCCTCCCAAAGTGCTGGGACTACGGGCTAAGCCACTGAGCCCAGTCGAGACCTTTTTAAATGACATTGACAGTTGCAAATCTCCTGGCACCATGTCTGGAATATCATAGGCTGTCAGTGCTGGTTCCTCCAGATCTCCTCCATACCCCCTCTGTGCTCTGCCTGTTGCTTCTCCTACCTCACCCGTTCTCTCCTCTCCCCTAGGCTCCCCAAACTGTACCCTTCAAGGCCTTGTTTAACACCACCTCTTGCAAAGAACCACACTTGTCTCTCTTCCTTTTCTCAATTTCCACTGTTCCTGTGGCTGGATTTTGCAGTGCTTTGCTCTCTGCTAAAAACCCCTTTGGGGAGGATCATATCTCTTGCTTCTCTGTTTTTCCCAGTCATCCCATGGACCCAGCATGAGGTTAGGTGTGATGAAAATGTCACCACTGCTTTTAATCGCTGAGATATGCAAAGTCTGGTGATGCATACTTCCAAAGTACGCATCACCAGACTTGATCTCCAGGGCTTATTTGATCTCCAGGGCTCTAAAGATAAGTAGGGCAGGTATCATCATCCTTACTTCAGAGGGGAGAAAACTGAGATGAGCAGTGGTGCAGTGACTTGTACAAGGTCACCCTATAAGTCACTGGTCTTGTGATTCCTGGATTAGTTTTTTCTTTTCCTGCACCTGAGTGGGTTTAGAAAAATGAAATCTCTAGCTTTCATTTGGGGAACATTATGAACCAAATAGCACTGGGATTTTCTTAGATGATTTAATACTAAAAACCAACTTGGCGAGATCTCATCTCTACAATAAAATTTTTTTTTAAAATTAGCCAGGCATGGTAATGCCCACCTGTAGTTCTAGCTACTTGGAAGGCTGAGGTAGAAGCCTCACCGGAGACCAGCAGGTCAATGCTGGGGTGGCCATGAGTGTGCCACTATACTCCAGCCTGGGTAACAGAGTGAAACTCCAACTCAAAAAAAAAAGGTCTCAACAACCTCAGTAGTGGTTATTTAAATCTCCCCTTTAAAGGTGATGGCAAAGGGTGAGTAATTCATCCAAGAGTGTACACTTAGCAAGATAGAGAGCTAGGCTCTACACTTAGGTCTTTTGATCCCCAAGTTGCCCAAGGCTGTGTCATCGTAAACTTGATGGGGAGATTAAGGAACCTTGAGAAAAGGGAGGAATTTATCTGGGAGGATGAGCCTCAGCATCATAAACAAGGGACCCTGAAGACAGAGTCAAAGTGGGTCTGGGTCATTCATTTTAGCAGGTCATTCATTGCCTTATGTTGCTGAGTGACTGTTTCTAGCATGTCTGTCTCATCTCCCCCAATTCATTCATATAATCAACAAGTACTCGCTGAGCACCACTATGCTTCAGACACTATTCTAAGGGCAGCAGTGGACAAAACAGAAAAAGAACACTGCCTTCCTGGACCCTGCATTCTAGTTAGATTGGGATCTGAAGATTGCAGATATCTTTGGAGCAGGAACCACCTTCTCCACAGCATTTGGCATGGTGCTGGCCCCAAAGCAGGTATTCCTATGGAACCATGGATGAGAAAACATCTTTCAGACCTGCTGATCTATGACCAATCGGCCTTGAATAACCTGCTTTAATGATTTCCCCTTTGAAAGTGTGTTCTGCAATATATTGCAGGTTCCCCACGTGGATAAGTATGTGTAATGACATTACCTCACCTTGCTAGACTCTAGACTCCAGGTCAGGGATGACATCCATGTAGTACAGTGCCCCTTTCCTCTCCCTACAGCCATGGCATACATTGCTTGTTGATCCCAGCACACTATCCACATTAGGTTGAAAGCAGCAAGCCAGTCATTGCCAATCAACCACATTGCCACCCCTGATATTCCATTGAGAGGAAGCCAGGGGAGAAGACTGGCCAAGCTAGATATTTTACAGAGCTCTGATCATGGGAATTGATATTCTTTTTTATGTTTGTATAGGCAAAAAGATGTGATAAGAAGTCTGTTCTAGCAAGTAGAACCGAGTGTCGATCCTGCTCAGTCAATTTCGAAGTCAAGTGCCCAGATGGTTACATCAAGATCACCAATGGCTCCGTGGGGGTTCGAGATTGCAGGTACTCATTGTGAGAAAATAAGTGTGCTTGGGTCTGGAAACTCAAGGAATTGTGAATCCAGATTGAAACTCCTGATCCCATCTTCCTCCCCCCCATAGTTTCCCAGTACTGTCAGTCATTTTCTTATAGTATTGCATTGGATGTTTAAGGTCCATTATATGAGTGAGAACATGTGATACTCGGATCTTTGTCTGTCTGGGAACGGGGAAACACTTCATGTCAACAGGATGCCTGAAAGAAACATAATTGTATACCTAACCCTTAAATGTACTCCACAACATCATAATAAAAAATAAATAAATTATTTTTTTAAAAAAATTAAAAAAAAAAAAAAGAAACTCCTGTTCTCAAAAATCTCAAAGTATTTCCATGAGTTTTCTCTTGCTCTAAGGCAACAATGAGCCTCAACTCAGGTAGGTCACAACTTATAAACTTGAGTCTAAAGCATATATTATCAATTTGCATTTTAATATAAAATTGACCTCATCTCACTGCACATAAACATTCTCCCTCTAACTTGTCCTTCTTTATTTTGAAAATCCATGTTTGATTCCATTTGGAAAAGTTCTAGTCCTGAAGGTATTCAAAACATTGGATCTAGTTGTGACCTCATAACTAGCTATGGACCCCGATACTAATAAGAACCCAAAGAAGGAGGAAAGATGAATTACAGCATGCTTGCATTTTATGTCAACTTTGCATTCTTGAAACCCTCTTGTGATTTAAAATCCTCATAATTCAAGGCCATTCCTGGCAAAGGATGACAAGCAGTTGGGCTCACCAACCAGCTAATGGATGCAACCATGGGGCTTTACACAAACGCAATTTTATATTTACTCAGCCTACTAATATGGAAATTAGACAGAACATAATGAGTTTGTTTTTCATTGTGGATTAGAGGATTAGTATTTTTTCTATTTTGTATGAAATAAAATCTTAACACTGTTTATCACACTGTTTTAAATTCACATTTTCTTAAAGTGACCATGCTATAATTTAAAACACAAATCACTATTTTTTAATGAAAGTCTCTCAATCAGCATTACCTGACCTAGAATTAGCAAGCCTATGCAGCGGTTAACCACTCTGTTACCAAAGTAGACACACCTTTGCAACCAGTTTCAGTTTCTAGTAGAATTACATCAGAAAAACATAGGGTTCAAGGTTAAAATTATATGACTACTTTATTGAGAACTTCTGGTACTGGCTACTTTTTTGTTCATGGCCAAAGTGGGCACTTGGTTATATTCCAACATAAACACACACACACAGGGGGCGGAGGGGAATGTTTGCACTGAGATTCTCTGTTTTAGAATTGAAGACTTTGAGTCATAATTCATCTACTCTAGAACAAATTCAGGATTGGTTTTGTGTTGTGTTTTGTTTTATGTTTTCCGGGTTTTTTTAAACCACATTACTGAGATATGATTGACATACAAAAAACTGGGTAAATATATACAATTTTATGAGTTTGGAGATAAATATGCACCCATGAAACCATCACACAATCAGTGTCATAAACACAACCATCACCTCCACAAGTTTCCTTCTGCCCCTTCTTTTGATGACAAGAATACTTAGCATAAGATCTACCCTCTTAACACATTTTTAAGTATATATTTGGACTTACTATAGGCACTAAGCTATATAGTAAATCTCTAGGATGTTTTCATCTTACAAAACCAAAACTTTGTACCCTTTGATCAAAACTTTCCCCTTTTTCTTCCTTCCGACCCTTGGCAACTACCACTCCACTCTTTGCTTCTGTGAGTTTGACTCTTTGGATTCTGCATGTGAACGAGATCATGTGGTATTCATTCTTCTGTGTCTGGCTTATTTCACTTGCATCATGTCCTTCAGGTTCATTCAGTTGGTGCAAATTGCAAGAGTTCCTTCTTTCTGAAGAAGGAATATATTTCATTGTAGGAATAGACCACATTTTCTTTTTCCCATTCATTCATTCAGCAATGAATGTTTGGGTAGCTTCTACATCTTGACTTTTGTGAATACTGCTGCAATGAACATGGGAGTGGAGATATCTCTTGGAGATCTTGATTTCAATTTTTAAAATATATACCCAGGAGAAGCACTGATGGATCTTATGGTAGTTTTATTATTGGTTTTTTGAAGAACCTCCATGCTGTTTCCCATAACGGTTATACCCGTTTATATTCCCACCAACAGTATGTAAGGATTCCCTTTCTCCACATCCTTGCCAACGCTTGTTGGCAGAGAAACAACCAAATGTTTATTTTTTATAATAGTCATCCTAACAGGTGTGACATGATATCTCACTGTAGTTTTGATTTGCCTTTCCTTGATGATTAGTGATGTTGAGCACCTTTTTATGTGCCCTTTGGCCACTTGTATGTCATTCAAACTTAGTTCCAGGGAGGATGTTTGGTTCTTCCCTGGGACTCTCCTCTACCCACCTTGAGAAGAGTTGTTCTCCCAGTATTCTTAACATTAAAAAGAAAAAGCCAACACTATTTCCAGTTTGACCATCCATAAAGCATATGGTTCTGCAGTTAATCAACTACATTTCAGGGACTAGAACAACTTGAACTCACCACCACACTCTTCTTAACAGCCCAGTTGGAATAAACAATTTCATGGACGATTGTCTCTGGATACACTAAAGTTTAGTCCTAGAATAAGCCATGTCTGCAGAGACCCTTGTAAATAAGCAATGGCATTTAGCCTCCATAGAATTGATATTCTAGAACTCTACTTCAGCCTGTACTATAAGCTTCTCTAAGGAGCTCACCCTTGTGTCTACTATGAGGATATCATGACAAATGTTACTTGCTACATTATCACAATGTAATGTAGCCTCTACCACAGAAATTTCTGCATCTATAGTATCTTCAGTAAACACACCAATCCTGAGCTATAGAGTTTGTTTTAGATCCTCAGAGTCCATGTATCACATAACTCATGATCTTTCCCTTATTGCATTGACTGCTAGGACACTCCGTGACAAGTTTTAGGCCATCTCTAACATGTGCCCATGACCTAACATCATTTGTTTTGTCTATTAACTTCCCTTCTGACACCACTCTAGATATTTTCCCCCATTTTCATTGTTCCCTGATTTTTTCCATCCATTTTTTACAATTAAAAATAACTCATGATTAAGTTTTATTCTACTTAGAAAGCCAAATGTGTTCAGTTGATTTTTTTTTTTAACTATAGGTAAGTGTAAAGACCTAAAAAAAATCTAGGGCAATTCCACCAACTAGAGTTAACTGCATTCCTCTTGTCATGGGTTAATGTTCTTTCTTTACCTTCCAAGGTACACCCTTGTGATCAGAACATACTCTCTGTCTCTCCCTGGATGCCGCCATATTTGTAAGAAGGACTATCTCCAACCTCAGTGTTGTCCTGGCCACTGGGGCCCAGACTGCATGGGTAAGTGACACGATGTTTAGTCTTTCAGACTTGCTTTGGATGTTCTATTTTATAGAAAATGGAGCTAGAGAAAGCCCAGTAAAAGGAGACTGTAAGCATTTTTCTAGAAATGTCTATTTCAGCCTATGCATAGAAAATCTTTCTAGTCAGCTTTTATAAAGAAAAATGTTTAACTGCAGTTCTCTTTCTTTAAGATAATTCCTTTGTAAGTCGGAAAAAGTGACAATTGAAAAGGTATCCATTTTTTAAAAAATAAAAAAAAGATAACTAGTCAAAGAGAGGAAGTAAAAAGCTGTGCTATTGTGATCCAAAATAGAATTTTCTTTAGGAAGCAATGTTATCACAACATCTCAAAGACTGTAGCTATTGTTTGGCAAGCAAAATAATTGCTAAATATTCTAAAAATTAAAGTCTTAGAATGAAATAGCAAACTCTATTATGGCGGACTTAAGACATATCATGTAAAGAAACTGTAAAGTTATCCATGCAAAGTTATATGCAAACACAAGTATACATGAAAATTAACTTTGACCAGGTTCTACTGTAAGAAAAACTACTAGCAAAATCCGAATTCATGGACTAGTTAGACTTCGGTGATCAAGCATAATATTTGAAAGCTCAAATTGAACTGTTGTCCTAACTATAGTTGTTAACATTCAAATAGTGACTGAGTCCTTGCTACCATATGCAAATTGCATGTCACTTTAATTCATGAATTTACTAGCTGTTCCCCATCTTCAAAGACATAATGAAATATCTCCTTGGGATCCACATAAGGGGAGAGATTTGTTCTTGGGTTTATAAGTAATATAAGTAAATTGTACACAGTTGTCAAGTTTTAAAAGATGTAAAGAAGGAAATATCAACTTGTATTCTGTCACATACAGGAAACCTTAAATATTTTGGCATATTTCAATCTGCATTTTTTTTATGCCATATAGTTTCTAAAGAATTAAGCACATGTTGTATGTATAAAACCTCCCGGGTTTATTCTTGCTTTGCTTGTTTATCTGTTTTTAAAACTAATGATTAAATAAGTAATAACTACCATTAAGTCAACATTGCTAGCATTAGGTCCCAGAGAAGTACTCAGCCTATCTTATCTGATATAATTCTTTAAACAAATTCTTGAGTTAGACATTTTAATTTCATTTTTCCTATAAGGAATCAGAGATTTAAAAATTATCTCTTGCCAGTTTCCTATGGACTGGTAAATGATAAAGCAAATTCAAGTTCAAGGCTGCCTAGCACCAAAGACAGTACTTTTTCTGCTCTATCCCACTGCTTGGAATGCACCTTATAAAAAGGAGAGCCTAAAAATGTGTTTGTAATGTCTCTCTGAGTTGGAGGCCCTTTCGGCCTTCCTAGTGAATGTCTGAATGGCATTCCCTGACCTGGGAAGATCAGAGTTGGGATTTAACCTTTTCTTACCCTCCTCCCTCTGTTAACTGTGCTGTGCTCAGTTTACGTCAGTATGTTGGCGCCTCATTTTCCCATTTTTTACCAAATGAGAATCAAGCACCCAGATGCAGTGTCTTTTAAAGCAATTAACCTGGACTTTCACATCTCAAGAACTTTTTTTTGGTATCAAATATGGTCATAATCACGTCCGATTCTTATAGACATTCTGATGCAATAGAGAGAACTTCCAGATTTGCTTTCCTCTTTCTAACCCATGAAAACTGATCTGATGCTAAGTTATTAATCAGACACACTATAGACAAGAAGCAGCTTTGTCCAAGACACAGTATATAGTCAGTATGGGCCAGGTGCAGTGGCCATACCTGCAATCCCAACAATTTGGGAGGCCACAGTAGGAGGATTGCTTTTGTCCAAGAGTTCGAGACCAGTCTGGGCAGCATAGCAAAACCTTCTCGCTACAAGAAAAATCAAAAAATTAGCTGGACATGGTGTTGCTTGCCAGTATCAGCTATTCGGGAGGCTAAGGTGAAAGGATCACCTGAGCCCAGGAGGTCAAGGCTGTGGTGAGCTGTGATTGTGCCACTACACTCCAGCCTGGGAAACAGAGTGAGATCCTGACTCAAAGAAAAAAAAAATCAGCATGTCCAGCATAAGGAATGACAGACCACAGCCAGCAGGAAAAAAGAATATAGGGTCTGCTGCCAGAAGTTTTCTGTTTGAACTTAGTTCCATCACTTACTAGTTTGGACGAATGACTTCCTGCTTACACCTCAGTCTCCTCTCCTGACAAATGGGCATAAAAATTCCTACTTTACAAAACTGTAGTAGAGATTTTAAACATTAACCTAGGCGAGAGTAATTAGCAAAGTATATGACACAAAGAAGATACTTTAGAGGCATTTAATGAGCAAATGAAGGAGTGAATTGCAGTCAAAACAGACCTCTGATAATGAAAGGCAAATGACACCCTCAACTGTACCCCACCTCTTTATAATAAAAATTTTTTTAAAAAGAAAGGCAAATGAGATTACCCGCTTTCTCTGAGCCCTCTTTTAACAGTGGGTAACTCTTAAAACACGAGCAGGCAAAGCGGATTCCAAGCCTCCAGCAGTTTTTCTACCATCCGGCTGTACTGTGCGCAGGCAGATGTGGTAAAGTTCACATCTACCACCCAAAGAGTCTGAAAGGATGCCCTGAATGTTCAGGCATTTCCTTGAGATTGGTCTCAACACCAGAGAAACAAAACATGTGACAGTCAAGGCCTGGGTGTTATTTCTGCTGTCCTTTCACTGGGGTAAAAGGGAACTTCCCTTTATCTTCATCTTCCAAACATGCTAAATGCCTCGAAATGCTTCCTTCCTTTGGCTCAGGAAAAAGATAAATCCTTGATTTGGCTGTGTATGTCACCTCTCACATTTTGTGGTGATGACAAGCACGCCCTTGACAATTGCTTTACATTTCCGCAAGGATGGGTCAGTGTGAAGCTGCTGACATGCATCCATCCCTCTCTTTGAGGAAGCACTTTCCCAAGCTCCAGAAAGGCCTGTTTCCAACGCAGATGGAACATACACTTCCTTTTTAAATATTCAACACCTCTGTGTTGTTTTTTAAATTATTTTAATATATCTTACTCAAATTAGAAAATAACTCTTGGCCAGGCGTGGTGGCCAATGCCTATAATCCCAGCACTTAAGGAGGCCAACATGGGAAGATTACTTGAGCCTAGGAGTTCGAACCTAGCCTGGGCAACACCTGTGAGAGGTGACGTACACGGCCAAGTCGAGGATTTATCTTTTTCCTGAGCCAAAGGAAGGAAGCCTTTTGTAGAGATCGCGTCTCTACAAAAAAAAAAAAATCAAAAAAGTTAACCAGGCATGGTGGCACACACCTGCAGTGCCAGCTACTCAGAAAGTGGGAGGATCGAATGAGCCCAGGAGGTCGAGCTGCGATCATGCCAGTGCACTCCAACCAGGGTGACAGAGTGAGACTCCGACTAAAAACACAAAAACAAACAAAAAGCCTCTCTATGTTCAACACTGAAAACTTGAAACATGTAGAACTGCACAATGAAAAAAAAATTGCCCATTATCTCCTAAAATTAAGAACAAGGCATGAATTCTCACTTGTGGTGGGTGGAGGATTATCCCAACATCAGGAAAGTGTTTCTACCTGTATGCAATTAAAATCTGTACTACTTTATCAAATGTGCATATGGAAGTCTCTTCTCATTAGCACAAAACATATTTTTAACTCTGAACCTTCATCACATTTGAGCAGCCAACATTCTATTTGAAATGAAATCGATTGTTTCATTGAACATTTCCATTCCTATTATCCTTGCCATGAACGTTAATGGATTTGTTTAACAACGCAAAGCAATGGAAAGCGAATGTGTGCAAACTCACTGTGGCCTAAACTCATCTGTGGCCAGAAAGATCTGAGAAATGGTCTTGATTTTTCTTTTTTGAGTCAATGTCACCCAATTATCCATATTTATCTCTTGACCTCTTTTTCTTTCCCACTGACCCAGCCATTCACTGCCCAGATTGCAAATAACAAACGATACGGATTTGGAGCCGTTCTTCTTTGCTTTGAGTGACAAGTAATTGAGTCCCCGTTAGATTCAGTCTCCCAGGCAGACAATTCCATCTGGAGCTATAATGGAATACCAAGACATATTTTCTGCCTAGCACTGTGCACCAAGCTTTGAAACAAAGGTGGAACAGACGCCTCTGGGGTCTCTTAGGAGTTAAAGTTGCAGGGAAATCGTTGGCCTCATGCTGGGCAGGAAGTTTATTATCTTCCTTTAAAGAAGCAGCTGATGATTTGCTGACAACTTATAATGGCTAGACCTCCTGCGTGAGGAAAGTCAGGACGCAAGAGCCCACCAGAGTGGAGGTGACCCAAGGGAAATGTGATAAAGACCTAAAATAAAATAGACTTATCAGCGACCGGAGCCTCACAATGCATCAGAAATGTGCCCTTGCAGCAAATTCTACAATATCTCTTATAAGTGTGGTTGGTTTGGCTGTCCCGTTTTACCATCTTTTTCCTTAATGGGGGCCTGAGGTGGTGGGAAATGATTTGAGAAACAGGAAATAAATGTATACTTTTTCTTTAAAAATGTGATTTAAAAATCAAGCAAGTTGCTTTCATAAAGTGTTAACAGAAATCTGTTTAGGTCATAAAATGAGGACGTTCTTCCATACCCCCATATTCCTGCTTCCTTTTCTACAAAGGTCCTTTCAGGGTAAACTAACTCATAACAATCAAGCATTTATTAAACACCTACTATATGCTTCACATCATCACATATATGATAGGTCCCACCCATAATTACATACATGATAGGTCCTATCCCTGATCATATATATGATACATCCTACCCCTAATCACATATATGATAGGTCGGTCATACCCGTCATTACATATATGATAGGTCCTACTCCTAATCACATACATGAGAGAGAGCCCCTCCTCCCCCAGAAAACCAAAATTATTTATTGGAGGGTGGGCTCCTTGCAGTATAGGCTTCCCTTGCTAGGTAAGTGTTCTAGGAACCCATCGGCCTCAGTGGA